TAAAAAAAAAAAAAAAAAAAAAAAAAATTTTAAAAGGCCACACACTGTGGCTCACGCCTATAATCCTAGCACTTTGGGAGGCCGAGGTGGGTGGATCACCTGATGTCAGGAGTTCAAGACCAGCCTGGCCATCATGGTTAAATCCCATCTTTAAAAAAGGAAAAAAAGAAAAGGTACACCAAAATTAACAGTATTTATCCCTGGATTATTGCTATAGATGTAATTTTCATTTTTATACTCTTTTTTGTTCATCGGTACTTTCTTATTTTTCTACAATAAACAAGCATGCTTTTTGTCTTTTTATGTTTATAATATTGCTAATGAAAAAGCAGGTTACAGAATGATATATAAAATATGCTTCCATTGATATTTTAATATAGCATATAAAAAAGAGAGGAAGAGAAAGGGAGGGCTGAGAAAGGGAAAAATTTTTAAATGATAGAATAAAATTAGAAAAAATCATATACAGAATGGTTAACAGTGGTTATCTCAGAAAAACAGATTAAACTGACACTTTTTAAAGAATTATTGGAAGCCAGGTGTGGTGACTCACACCTGTAATCCCGGCACTCTGGGAGGCAGAGGTCAGGAGTTAGAGACCAGCCTGTCCAATATGGTGAAACCCTGTTTCTACTAAAAAATATAAAAATTAGCCGACTGTGGTGGCACACACCTGTAGTCCCAGCTACTTGGGAGGCTGAAGCAAGAGAATTGCTTGAACTGGTAGGCAGAGGTTGCAGTGAGCTGAGATCGTGCCACTGCATTCCGGCCTGGGAGACAAAATGAGACTCTGCCTCAAAAAATAATAATAATAATAATAATTATCGGAGAAAACAAATCTGAAGAATTTCCATTTAGGGAAAAAGCAAAAAAGAAATTATTTCTGATTGCTATATTTGTTCTTATAATTAAAACTTACTCACAAAATTTGTATATGATAAAATTTGTATCCCTTTAGATATACTAACACAAATGAAAATATACCAAAATATCTATAATACATATTTCTCTAAATTATAAGATTATGAGTTATAGGTTCTTCCTTTTCCTTGACCATATTTTCTCACATTTTATATAGTAAATAAGGGTCATTTTTGTTTAAAAAGATGTAGTTTATAGTTTGGGTTCCTCTAGAAATAGACATGCAGACAAGAGCTTGAAACAGATTGGGCACAGTGGCCCACACCTATAATCGCAGAACTTTGGGAGGCTGAGGCCAATGGATCACTTGACCTCAGGAGCTTGAGACCAGCCTGGGCAACATGGCGAAACCCATCTCTACAAAAAATCAGCCAGATGTTGTGGTGTACGCCTGCAGTCCCAGCTATTTGGGGGGCTGGGGTGGGAGAATCGTTTGAGCCTAGGAAGTTGATGCAGCAGTAAGTCGTGATCATACCACAGCACTCCAGCCTGGGTAACAGAGTAAGACCTTGTATCAAAAAAAAGAGTTTGAAACAAAGTGGCCAATTTGGGAGGTGATCCCAAGAGGCACCTTAGCAAAATGAGAACCAAATCTATAAAAGGTACATTATCAAACAAGTTACTACCATGGGTGACTGCAAATGATCCCACTGGGGAACCCTGGGAGACATATAAAACTTCTTAGAGTTATCCCATGTGAGGAGTGAAGGAGCTGGGGAATTTAGCTTCCCACTCCCACTTATTATTGTCATCCAAAGGGCATTTACTCCCTGGCACTTACTGCCTGCTGATTTGCTGCCAAGCAGGCTCCACTGCCAGAGCAAGCCCTCTGGCAGAGTCACAGTGTCTGTAGTTGGGGCCACAGGGTTGGCAATGCCTAGGAAGGTAGGTGCCCAGGGACATGGCAGCACACCAAAGTCATTGGGCACATTTAAACTTTTCTTTCCCTTTTTTACTCCAAGATGTTACATAAAGCTATTTGATTCTAGAACTGTATTTATCAGAAGGCATATTTATTGCATATTTAAGTAGAAAGTAAAAATAAGATTGTCTTGCACAGTGGTTTTCAGATGTGGTGCTCCATATTTTACTGTTTGCAATAAAGAATTAGAATGTGGTGGGGACTATTTGGTGGCTGCTCATTACAGAAGAGAAATCAAAAAGCAAACTCCAAAGTGAATATCTAGCACTGCTTGAGGAAATTAGCAAACATGCTGAAAAGTAATACATAAGAAGTCACTCAGGGCTTGGTAAAGTTGACGTGAATAATATTTCTTAAATGCTGACATTATAAAAATTTACACTGCAGTAAAATGAAATCATAAATAATCATGCAAAGGCACTTTGATATATCAAACTCCAGCTTTAAGGCACTAGTCAGAAAAGCCAATAATCTTTTAAACAGCATAAAGAAAATACTGGTAAATGCAACCTTTGGCAGAATTTCATAATTCTCCAACAACAGCTTCTTAGAACAATGATTCCCAGCTGGGTGCAGTGGTTCACACCTGTAATCCCAGCACTTTGGGAGGCCTAGGTAGGGAGATCACCTGAGGTCAGGAGTTCTAGACCAGCCTGGCCAACATGGTGAAACCACGTCTCTACTAAAAATACAAAAATTAGCCAGGTGTGGTGGTAGGCACCTGTAATCCCAGCTACTTGGGAGGTGGACACAGGAGAATTGCTTAACTGGGGAGGTAGAGGTTGCAGTGAGCCGAGACCACACCATTGCACTCCAGCCTGGACAAGAGCGAAACTCTGATTCAAAAAAAAAAAAAGAACAATGATTCCCAACCCCTCCACTTCATTCTTCTTTTTTAGACACAGAGACACACAGGGTCTTGTTCTTTAACCCAGGCTGGGGTGCAGTGGCAGGATCACAGCTCACTGCAGCTCAAGCAATTCTCCTGCCTCAGCCTCCCAAGTAGCTGGGATTACAGGCATATGCCCCATATCTAGCTAATGTTTTTTTAAATTTTGTAGAGACAGAGCTCTTGCTATGTTGCCCAAGCTGGTCTTGAAGTCCTGGCCTCAAGCAATCCTCCCACCTCAGCATCCCAAAGTTCTAGGATTACAGGCCCAAGCCACCACGGCTGGCTCCACTTCATTCTTAAACAATAGCATACACATCACAATATGAAGATATCAAAACTGACATTCACAATTTGTTCTGAATACATTATATGTGAAAATTATATGAATTGGGATTATCTATTATTATGCAAGTCAATTGAGTCGAGAACCAGGAAGAGGAAAAGAAAAGCATTCAGGACACAAACACCTGCCCAAAGATTCTATCACAAGCCAGCTGCCGAAATGACCTGCCTTGCCTGTAAGGCTAATTTTACCTATTGCCATCACTTACCAATTAGAGCCTGCTAGTTCCCAAAAACTTTGCTAGTGCCAATGAGCTTTCTTTCAAAACAATATGCAACATTTCTCTTTCTAATAAAACCCCCAACTTTTGTTTGTTCTTCAGGCACAGCAAAGACCACCCCACATGTGTATGCCCTGAATTGCAATGTCGTTTTTATATATTTTCCAAAGTAAAATGTTTTACATAGAGATGAGAATCTATATTTTTGTTTGACTTTGACATAATATATATCTACACTGTGGAATGCTATCAGCTGTTAAAAAGAAGGAATTCATTCTGAATGTAAGAATTTAAAGAGAAGTCCCTTAATCATAAAAGTTAACGCTAGCCGGGAGCGGTGGCTCATGCCTGTAATTCCAGCACTTTGGGAGGCCGAGGCAGGTGGATTATGAGGTCAGCAGATAGAGACCATCCTGGCCAACATGATGAAACTCCGTCTCTACTAAGAATACAAAAAAATTAGCTGGGCATGGTGGCACATGCCTGTAGTCTCAGCTACTCAGGAGGCTGAGGCAGTAGAATTGCTTGAACCCAGGAGGCAGAGATTGCAGTGAGCCAAGACTGAGCCACTGCACTACAGCCTGGGCAACAGTGCAGTGTCTCAAAAAAAAAAGTTAACACTAAAATAGTGTTTATGATGTGCCTGGTACTGTTCTAAATATTTTATGTATATTAAGTTTGTGTGTGTGTGTGTGTGTGTGCACGCACGCGTGCACACTTGTGACAGGATCTCATTCTGTCACCCAGGCTGGAGTACAGTGGTGCAGTCGTAGCTCACTGCAGACTCGACACCCCCGCATACACACCTGGGCTCAAGTAACTGGAATTACAGGCACGCACCACGACTCCTGGCTAATTTTCGTATTCTTTTTTTAGAGATGGGGTTTTGCCATGTTGCCCAGGCTGGTCTCCAATTTTTAGCCTCAAGCAGTCCTCCCACTTCAACCTCCCTAATTGCTGGGATTACAGGTGAGCCACTGCACCTGGACAGTTATTTGCTCTTAAAAAAAAAAAAAAAATCAGGCCGGGCGCGGTGGCTCAAGCCTGTAATCCCAGCACTTTGGGAGGCCGAGGCGGGTGGATCACGAGGTCAAGAGATCGAGACCATCCTGGTCAACATGGTGAAACCCCGTCTCTACTAAAACTACAAAAAATTAGCTGGGCATGGTGGCACGTGCCTGTAATCCCAGCTACTCAGGAGGCTGAGGCAGGAGAATTGCCTGAACCCAGGAGGCGGAGGTTGCGGTGAGCCGAGATCGCGCCATTGCACTCCAGCCTGGGTAACAAGAGCGAAACTCCGTCTCAAAAAAAAAAAAAAAAAAATCTTATGAGGTAGACACTAATATTTTGACCACTGCATAACTAAGAAGACACAGATGGAGAGGGGTTAACTAGCTTGTCCAAGGTCATACAACTCATCAGTGAAAAGCTGAGCCCACACTCTTAACCTCTGTGTAACACAGAGAAATGGTACAGTGTAACCCCATTCTTTACTTGTAAAGCTCTACTAAGTGCACATATACAGACTTGTGTTAGCATAGAGAACAGTGGAAGGGAACACACCTGAGTGTCTGCCTTGGTTACTTCAAGAAGTAGAGGCAGAAAAGGTTGGCAGCCTGGGATAGACACTAAGTTACTGCCTATACATGATTCTTTGAATTTTGCTCCATTTTTTGAGACGTAGTCTAGCTCTGTTTCTCAGGCCGGAGTGCAGTGGCACAATCTTGGCTCGTTGCAATCTCTGCCTCCTGAGTTCAAGCGATTCCCTGCCTTAGACTCCCAAGTAGATAGGATGACAGGCACATGCCACCACACCCAGTTAATTTTTGTATTTTTGGTAGAGACGGGGTTTTTACCATGTTGGCCACGATAGTCTTGATCTCCTGACCTCGGGATCCACCCTCCTCGGCCTCTCAAAGTGCTGGGATTACAGGCATGAGCCACCACACCCGGCCGATTCTTTAAATTTTTTAACAGCAAGTCTATACTACTTTTGCTCTTATTTAGTATTTAAGTGACTATTTTTTAAAAAGAAGGAAAATTTCATAGAATTCTATGAGAAGGGCTCAAGAGGCCTCAGCATCATGCCTGAGTCTCTGAAGTATCTCTCACTCCACCCACACTACACCTAATTCTGGCGTGTGCAGACTTGGCCTGAATATGACAGAAAGACTCGGGGAACCCCCAGGGGTTCAAGACTCACAGAACTGAACATTCATCATGTTTGCATGCAGGGCAGTGATAGTACTCCTGTGTTTGCTCAAAATACTGTTTTTCTACATTTTGGGCTTCTCCTTTGATCAGCTAGTTATATTATAACCATTTCCAGCTACTAGGTGATGCAATCAATGTGCAGATTCCACAGCGATCTCTTGGGTAACCCACAGAGACATCTGAATCAAACTCCGTGAATCTTCATTCTCAGCAAGAAGAGAACATGTAAAAGTTCTCCCCAAAGAGAGATTTGAAGTGACTGTTTCTCAAAAGACTATAATCCACCACAAGCCATCTAATTATCTTCTTTTTAATACAAAAGTTCGAGGGTATTCAGGAATGTTCTACTTAAAGGCTAAATTCTAATAGGGTGCTACATCACAAGCCTGAGAATCAACACATAATAATTTGAAGGACAGTTACAATGTGTGTATATACAACAACCTAAACTAGTTGGATGGCTAGATAGATGGCCAGGTCGACAAATGATACAAACAGCTAACGTTTACCTAGGGTTTCCTAGAGGTGAACTGCTGTGCTAAGCATTTTGTAAGTATCTCCTCATTTAATCATTATGGTAGCCTTATAGGAAGGTACTATTTTTTATTTAAGAGACAGAGTCTCACTACATCACCCAGGGCTGAATGCAGTACCTATTCACAGGTGTGACCATGGCACACAGCAGCCTTGAACTCCTGGCCTCAAGCCAGCTTCCTGCCTCAGCCTCCTGAGTAGTTAGGACCATAAGTGCATGCCAATGCACCTGGATGAGCAAGCACTATTATAATCCCTATTTTATAGATGCAGAAACTGAGTCTAGAGAAGTTGAGTAACTTTGCCAAGTAATACAGATAATTAGTCGAACTAGGATGTGAACTCAGGTAGCATAGCTTGGTAGCCAGGAGATAAACTTCTATAATACTCTGCTTCAGTGGATTTATAAATTATTCAGAATGTCTACAGAGCTACTTACAGATAAGGCAATATCAGGCCAGGTGTGGTGGCTTATGCCTGTAATCTCAGCACTTGAGAGGCCCAGGCAGGTGGATCATTTGAGGTCAAGAGTTCGAGACCAGCCTGGCCAACATGGTGAAACCCCGTCTCTACTAAAAATGCAAAAATTAGCCAGACATGGTGGCAGGCACCTATAGTCCCAGCTACTGGGGAGTCTGAGGCACAAGAATCACTTGAACCCGGGAGCCAAAGGTCTCAGTGAGCTGAGATCGTGCCACTACACTCCAACCTAGGAGATAGAGGGAGACTCCATCTCAATAAATGAATGAATGAATGAATGAAGGCCAGGCATGGTGGCTCACACCTGTAATCCCAGCACTTTGGGAGGCCGAGGCAGGTGGATCGCCTGAGATCAGGAGTTCTAGACCAGCCTGCCAACATGGTGAAACCCCATCTCTACTAAAAAATACAAAAAATTAGCTGAGTGTGGTGGCACATGTCTGTAAACCCAGCTACTCAGGAGGCAGAGGCAAGAGAATCACTTAAACCTGGGAGGCGGAGGTTGCAGTGAGCCAAGATCATATCATTGTACTCCAGCCTGGGCAACAAGAGTGAGACTCCATTTCAAAAAAAAATTTTTTTTAATTAATGAAATAAAGCATTATCACGGGATAGGGCAATACCTTGGAACACTGACTCTGAAGCCAAACTGCCTTGGTTCCTCAACCTCCTTGGACTTTGGTTTTCTTAACTATAAAATGAGAATAATATTGATAGCCCACAACCTTGTAGTGAGGACTAAATAAGTTAATTCATGTAAAATTAACATTTAATGAGATAATAAATGTAAACTAATATATGTAAAGAGTGTTTCTGTACATAGTAAACCTTCAATAAATGTTAGCTAGTGTTATTTCAGTAGATAAAAGACACTGAGAATTGTCTCAAGGTTTCCCTTGAGGAATGTCTTCTAGTTTCGGCATCAATGCTAAGTGTCTTTTAAGATGCTAAACCAATCTTTAAGCTTGGCACTGCTGTGCACATTGAAAAAGTTAAGAATAAATGCAATATAAACAAAGCTCTTTAATTTCAGACCTTCTCCATTCTGCAGTTACATAATATGACTTACTTGAAGATTCTGGATTTTGCGGGGAGACTGGCTTCTCCAGGGGCTTGGATTCTTTTTGCTCCGTTTTCTCTGTGGTTGAAGCCAGCTCCTCTTTCTTCCTTTCTCTTTGCTCATTCCATTCCTCATTTTCAATCTTGTTGGTGAGAGTCTTGTCAGATTCTTCCAGCATCAGGTCCTTTTTACCTCTGACAGCCCAGTGCATTGACTAAATTAATGTAAAGCAGAGACATAAAAATTAAATTGATATTATATGGTTTTCTATATTTAAAGTTTGATATGTGGTAACACCTGACCTACTCCTGTACTGCTAATTAACAGCATGTTAGACATGACTATTAACCAGATACTCGTAAATTAATTCAAATATTAATCCAACTATTGATAGTTACTTTTCACCACACACCCTTTTGTACCTTTATCATTTTCTGTTCTGTATATGTATTTCCTATTAGATTTAAAAATTGAACTGATGGATGAATGGATGGATAGACGGAAGAACTAACAGATGAATACAGCGATAAAGAGAGATTTTGAGTTTGCTATCAAGAATGTTTTAAGTGGAATCATTAGTCCTAGCATCAACCAAAATAATGCACAACTATTTCTTAAAATCTCATATTGTGGGAAGCTATTCCTGAAGTGCTAACAAACAGTGACATACAGTACCTCTATTAACAAAACTCAAGACTAGAGGAAAACATAGCCTTTTAACACCCTAAAATCATAAATATTCTAGCTCTCTGCAAAGAAGTCATATATTCCCTCGTCCAACCTATCTCTTCCCAGCTACAAAGCATCATCATACTGAACCCACTTCCCCAAATATAACCAGTTCAGAGGATAATCAACCCTAGGATCTATGAACCACCCCATAAAGCAGCCACTGCCACCAATAAATGTAATCAGCTCTCACTCCAACAAGAAAAAGAAACGGCCAGGTGCAGTGGCTCATGCCTGCAATCCTAGCACTTTGGGAAGCCACGGTGGGTGGATCACTTGAGGCCAGGAGTTTGAGATCAGCCTGGTCAGTGTGCTGAAACCCTGTCTCTACTAAAAATACAAAAATTAGCTGGGCATGGTGGCACACACCTGTAATCCCAGCTACTCAGGAGGCTGAGGCGGGAGAATTGCTTGATGGAACCCAGGAGGCAGAGGTTGCAGTGAACTGGGATCGTACCACTGCACTCCAGCCTGGGCAACAGAGCAAGACTCTGTCTCAAAAAAGAAAAAGAAATAGGAAGGAAAGGCACCAAAATGTAACTGCAGTTGTGCCTATGTAACAGAATTATATCTTTTTTTTTTTGTATTGCCCAAATTTTCTATGAGAAGATTATATATATGTACAATTAGAAAACACTCTATTTTAGGCCGGGCGCAGGCACTCACACCTGTAATCCCAGCACTTTGGGAGGCCAAGGAGGGTGGATCACAAGGTCAGGAGTTCCAAACCAGCCTGGCCAACATGGTGAAACCCCATTTCTACTAAAAAAACAAAAATTAGTTGGGCAAGGTAGTGAGCGCCTATAATCCCAGCTACCTGGGAGGCTGAGGCACAAGAATCACTTGAACCCAGGAGGCAGAGGTTGTAGTGAGCTGGTATTGCACTACTGCACTCCAGCCTGGGTGACAGAGCCAGACTCTGTCTCAAAAAAAAAAAAAAAAAAGAAAAGAAAACATTCTATTTTAAAAATTAAATGTAGTTTTGGCCGGGCGCAGTGGCTCAAGCCTGTAATCCCAGCACTTTGGGAGGCCGAGGCAGGTGGATCACAAGGTCAAGAGATCGAGACCATCCTGGTCAACATGGTGAAACCCCGTCTCTACTAAAAATACAAAAAATTAGCTGGGCATGGTGGCGCGTGCCTGTAATCCCAGCTACTCAGGAGGCTGAGGCAGGAGAAGTGCCTGAACCCAGGAGACGGAGGTTGCGGTGAGCCGAGATCGCGCCATTGCACTCCAGCCTGGGTAACAAGAGCGAAACTCCGTCTCAAAAAAAAAAAAAAAATTAAATGTAGTTTTGTAGTTGTGAAGCAAAAACATACAAGGAGGGAGATTCCTGGTGCCAACAATATGTGTGGGAAGGGAACAGTTACAGAGTAAATGCTTCAAAACCATTTGCTAAATTGTAAATGCAAGTATTACCCATTTCTCTGTAGATTTTATTTCAAAATAAAAATGCTAATTTTTAAAAGAGGAAATGCCTCAGCTGGTATTTTAAAAATTGACTTTTGTTTGGTTGATTTAGGTTTGTTGTTTTGGTTTGGTTTTTGCATATGCACAGAATAAAAGAGGCTGCCAGTGACTTCCTTACAGAGGGAAAAGGATATTAGGAAGGTTAGTGAAAAACAGGGAATAGACATTCAAGAATTCAGGGCCCAGAGAGCTGAAAATGTAGACTGAGAGCTTCACAAACTAGCAAGGTGGCCTGTACATGATGTATTAATCTCTGTGCCTCAGTTCTTCTCTCCTGAAACCAAAGTACCTACGGTCTGCCTTAGATAAGTGGTTAGGGTTAATGCCTAATCCACAGTAAATGCTTTAAAGGCCCTCAGTGGAAAGATATTCTGAAATAGTAGTCTTATTCAACTCCTTTGTGAGTAAATCAGAATAAAATATGTTATCATCAGATTCCCACATCTGCTGATCCTAATTATAGAAATATACAGAAGAAATAGCCAAACTGTATCTAACCTTAGATATAAGTGCTTCTCAGGCTTTGTAGTTCAATCAAAGGACTAACATCAGAGTGATGCAAAGCAGCCCGGTTTGCTGGGACACAGTTAGATAGTCTGCAAATCACTCATTTCTGTGTTCACAAAGCATATTTCTCAACTCCCCAATGGTGTTAGTTGTACAGAACAACATTTAACATCAAGTGAACTAGTCTATTATGGAGCAGTTCGTTTCAATAGAATCAGCATCAGTCAAAGATATCAAAAGACAACAATTTATACAGGCTAAGAGAGAGACTAGAAAGGGGAGAATCTGTACAGCAAGATAATAAAAGGCACAAGACAGAAAATCAGTATATGCATGGAAGGAACTAACACTAAACAGAGAGCAAGCCTAGGTGCAAAGGACACTAATCTTGAAACAGTTGTGAAATCGCTATGTTATTCCGCCTTCACAATTAACTCATTTACCAGCTTTCTTCAATGAGCTGGCTTTTTTCTCTAGGAAGCCATTTTCTTACATTCTAGACCTTAGTCAATACTTAGGAAATAGTGCTCGCCTCAGCAGCACATACACCAAAATTGGAATGATACAAAGAAGATTAGCATGGTTGCTGTGCAAAAATAACAGGCACATTCATGAAGCATTCCATTCATACACACACACACACACACACACACACACACACACACACACACGGAAATAAAAAATTTTGTTTACATGCCAGTAAACACTGGCACAAATTTTTTAAAAATCCATTGACTCGGATGAGCTGAATAGCTATAGAAAATGGATCAGTTATTATTATCCTGGATCACTGATTACAATGAGTGAATTTTTTACTTATCAGGGTGATTTCTGACCTGCTTTTGGATAATATCCAATTAAGACAGATCGCCTTTTGAACCAGCAGAAGGTGTTAAACTGCACGCTGTTTCCCATCTGGCTGGTGAAACTGTGGCCATGTGGGCATAGTAGGAAGCTTTCCTGACCCACCCCAAAGACACCTCGCCCAGCTGGGAACCCAAAAACAATCAGCAGACAAATAGGTCCACATGCGGCTGAGCCAATAAGCCCTCCCAGAGGCAATCAACTTGCCAAATGATTGATTCACCAAAAATGTGTTGCTATTAACTCTTTATAAAATTTATAGCAATTGAAGTGGCATGAGATAGTTTTAATAGCTTATGAGAATTTTTCTCAGTCATTCATTTTGACTGTGCCTTTGCTGTGGCTTCTTTTTTTCCACAACCATCCTAAATCCATGCTGCCATATATTTTGGTGCTAGAGGGAGAGCCACCCATCCCTGGGTCCCTTTGGGTAAAACTGTTTAGCATGATAACTCTTCAGGTTATCCCAGGATCCCAAAATCCTGCATTACTGAACCCTCACTCCATATCCTTTTTTTCAAACCAATATGACATGTCTAAATTTAAGTTGCCAACATATTCATCAACTTGGGTGAGATCTTAAAATAATTTTACAAATTAAACTATCAGGAGGAACTTCTAGAAAACAAAAAGAAAAATAAATAAGTGGGTAGTAAAGTGACAGACTTAGTGTGAGGAAAAAATACCAGTTCAGCTGCATTACTCCTGGGTATAGAAATGTGGTATATATACACCATGGAATACTACTCAGCCATAAAAGAGAGCAAAATAACATCTTTTGCAGCAACTTAGATGGAGCTGGAGGCCATTGTTCTAAATAAAATAACTTAGCTATGGAAAACCAAATATTGTATGTTCTCCATTATAAAAGGATGCTAAGCCATGGATACACAAAAGCATACAGAGTGGTATTAATATAATAGATTTTGGAGACTCAGGGGAGGCTGGGAAGGAGAGGGAAGGATAAAAAAACTACATATTGGGAGCCGGGCATGGTGGCTCACACCTGTAATCCCAGCACTTTGGGAGGCCAAGGCAGGCAGATCACAAGGTCAGGAGTTTGAGACCATCCTGGCCAACACGGTGAAACCCCATCTCTACTAAAAATACAAATATTAGCCAGGGGTGGTGGTACACGCTGGTAGTCTCAGCTACTCAGGAGGCTAAGGCAGGAGAATCACTTGAATCTGGAAGGCAGAGGTTGCAATGAGCTGAGATTATGCCACTGCACTCCAGCCTGGGTGACAGCGAGACTCTGTCGTAAATAAATAAATAAATAAAAATAAAATATACATATTGGGTACAATGAATATTACTCAGGTGATGGGTGCACTAAAATTTCAGACTTCATCACTATACAATTCATCCATGTGGCTAAAAACTACTTGTGTTAGTCCGTTTCACACTGCTATAAAGAATTACCTGAGACTGAGTAATTTATGAGGAAAAAAAATTAATTGACACAGTTCCTCAGGCTTAACAGGAAGCATGACTGGGAGGCCTCAGGAAACTTACAATCATGGCGGAAGGTGAAGGGAAAGAAAGGACTTTCTTCACATGGTGGCAGGAAAGCGAGAGAGAAGCAGAAAGTGCCAACACACTTAAATCATCGGATCTCCTGAGAACTCACTATCACTGAGAAAAGCAAGAGGCAAACCCGCCCCATGATCCAATCACCTCCCATCAGGACCCTCATCCAATTTAACATGAGATTTGGGCAGGGACACAAATCCAAACCGTATCACCACTCGTACCCCAAAAGCCATTGAAATTTTTTAAAGTATTTAATACGAGAAAAATATGGCACCCCTGAGGCTGTGTCATTTGAGGAATTCTCCCAGAGGAGATTCCCAAGATATGATCTTGTGTGTGATGCTACATAAGTACACTGTGATTTGTCCTGCCTTGTGGGTATAGGGACTAAAAATGCTCCCAACCAGAGTGATTATACTGCTTAAATAAAAAGCAGAAACACAGGGTTGATGGTGTAATGGAAAGGGAATTTATGAGATTTAACAATCTGTAAATGTACTGGGCATGTGTTTTAGATACATGTCACCTGAAATTGAAATCTTAAAGTTATAATCATTTCGTGGTCAGAATGGCACATATAATGCAGTAGTCTGCCCTTATCCTCAAGGGGCATTCCAAGACCCCTCTGGATGCCTCAACCTTGGATAGTACCAAACCTTACATATACTATGCTTTTTCTGACATATACACGCCTATGATAAAGTTCATAGTTCAACCCCAGTCCAAAAATAGGTGAGTACAGTACAATAAAATATTTTGAGAGAGTGTGAGAGCACATTCACATAACTTTTATTACATACGTTGTTATAATTTTCTAGTTTATTATTAATTATTGTTATTAATCTCTTACTATGCCGAATTTATAACTGTGGGCATGAGGGCATAGTTCTCATAAGCTGTTAAAATTATCTCTTGCCACTTCAATTGCTATAAATTTTATAAAGAGTTAATAAAAACACATTTTTGGTGAATTGATCATTTGACAAATTGATTGCCTCTGAGACGGCTTTTGGGACAGCCCCATGTGGGCCTATTTGTTTGCTGATTGTTTCTGGGTTCCCAGCTAGGTAAGGTGTCTTTGGGGTGGGTCCAATCGGCCATAGACTACCTATCAGGAAAGCTTCCTACTATGCCTGCATGGCCACAGCTATAAATTAGGTACAGTAAGAGATTAATAACAATAACTAATAATAAACAAGGATAATTATAACAATGTATGTAACAAAAGTTACGTAAATCTGCTCTCATACTCTCTCTCAAAATATTTTATTGTAGCCGGGCGCGGTGGCTCACACCTGTAATCCCAGCACTTTGGGAGGCCGAGGCAGGTGGATCACAAGGTCAAGCGATCAAGACCATCCTGGTCAACATGGTGAAACCCCATCTCTACTAAAAATACAAAATATCAGCTGGGCATGGTGGCACATGCCTGTAATCCGAGCTACTCAGGAGGCTGAGGCAGGAGAATTGCCTGAACCCAGGAGGCGGAGGCTACGGTGAGCCGAGATCGTGCCATTGCACTCCAGCCTGGGTAAGGAGAGCGAAACTCCGTCTCAAAAAAAAAAAAATATTTTATTGTACTGTACTCATCTATTTTTGCACTGGGGTTGATTGCAGGTAACTAAAACCAAAGAAAGCAAAACTGGGGATAAGGAAAAATACTACTGAATATCTGACTCAAACACCCTAATGATGACATTTATCTACAAAACAATAGACAATGATCTCTTAAGTGATGAACAATACTAGGTATGATAATTGTTATTAATTTCTCTAGAGTAGCGAAATGATAAACATGAAATACGCAAAAAGACAAGGTGACAATTAAAATGTTGTAGAGAGAAGTGAGGCACTCACATGCAGAAGTTACTATACGGCATAGAACAGAAAGGAATGAGAGGAAAGTTACAGAGCGTCTAGAACAGGTAATACTTGATATATAGGACTGAAAGTCAACTGCAACAGAGAACTAGAAGGATATTAAAAACAATAAGATTTGGCCCAAACAAAGAAGACTGTATGAGGAAAAAAGATCACTGCTGATTTGAAGCAGAGAGATATACATCTCATCATTTTGTACTACTAATAAAAATAAATCTGAAGCCAAATATAGCCCAGCACACTATTTCAACTTTGCCCACAAGACAAATGATGCAGCCAGTAAGATCTAAAACGTAATTATTGTAAAACCTTGAACAGTTCACAGTTAAGCTACATTCAAAGCAGAAATGGTGTGTTTGGAGACAAGAAATTAGTATTTAATGGAAAGACGTTGATAATATAAACTCAAGTGGGAATTTGGAGAAGAGTTTTTGAAAACTTCACAACTAACTGGATATTAGCTACTAAAAATTAAGTGATACAGTTGAGTGGACCATCCAGGAACAGTGAGCTATAAATCAGAAAGTGTTAAAAAAGCAGGAGTCAGTAATTCAGTTGCAGTTACGGTGTGCCACACTTAGGAGACTGGGAAATATGGTTATGCAGAGTTGGTAGAACAATGTTTATTTAGCTAGTGTCAAAAAGGAATTTTGAATTTACAGAATGAAAATGACCAAAATCTTATTTTCAATACATAAAGTCACTATTTTTTAAAAGATTCCCTCTAGTAATTTTATGCATTTGTACAATAATCATATGGTTAGTCTCTCATAAATGATTAGCCCACCTTAAACAAATCCACATGAATGCACACTTCTTTCCAAAACGCAATGAAGAAAACAGCTTATGCTTTACGTGGAGTCACTTTAATCATATACTTTGGACGTTTTGCATTGCTCTTCCCCATTATTTCAAAAAACACCCTTCAACATTATGGGCCTTTTGTCAACAATTTGCTCAACTCTTCTAAAATAAAAACTATGAAGAAGGAAATCTAAATGTAACCCTGAAGGGCTATAATTTAAGAGATGTGAATCATTTTATACACTAATTCTAACTGTCCCTGGAAACTTATCTATGAGGTAATTTCCGCATTATAAATCCCATGTCATAGAAAAGTGTTCCAATGGAGAGAATCTAGGTAATAAATCATGCCTAAATCTTTAAAATTACACTTTGTCTATAATATATAAAGTTCAATGTTGAACAAAATAAATATATAACAGTAATTACAGTGCATATTTTCAGATTTATGTCTTTTAATGACATGAAGAAAGATAACACATGTTTTTGGTTTTGGTTTTGGTTTTTTAAGACAGTGTTTCTCTCTTGTTGCCCAGGACGGAGTGCAGTGGCACAATCTTGGCTCACTGCAACTTCTGCCTCCTGGATTCAAGCAATTCTCCTGCCTCAGCCTCCCAAGTAGCTGGGATTACGGGCATGTGCCACCTCGCCTGACTAATTTTTGTATTTTTAGTAGAGATGTGGTTTCTCCATTTTGGTCAGGCTGGTCTCAAACCCCTGACCTCGTGATCCGCCCACCTTGGCCTCCCAAAGTGCTGGGATTTCAGTTGTGAGCCACTGTGCCTGGCCTGTTTTTAAAGTCTAACAATTTTTTCACCAGAATGATTAATAGGAATAATTCATGGCTTTCTTTGACTAATCAGATCCTGCCTTTTCAATAAAAATTGTAAGCCTTCAAAAGAGAGCAAGTGGACATAAACTAAAAAGATGGAGATACGAATTTACAATGGTTAAAACTCAGCAATTCATGAGCAACTTGAGAAGCACATTTATTAGAACTCATAAAACAGTAAGTGATAACAGGGAGTGTGTATACTGAAACAGCCAAAGAGACTGAAAAAATGTAGTCACAGGCTCTCCTGGCACAAATTCATTGTCTCTATTCTGGTGAATTTCTCTTCATGGAATTCATGGACACTGAATTATACCCAGACTATGCTAACTTCTTGGATTTCTCCCTGCTATTGCCTAATGACTCTTTTTCTTTTTTTTTTTTTTTTTTTTTTTGAGACAGAGTTTCACTCTTGTTACCCAGGCTGGAGTGCAATGGCACGATCTCGGCTCACCGCACCCTCCGCCTCCTGGGTTCAGGCAATTCTCCTGCCTCAGCCTCCTGAGTAGCTCGGATTACAGGCATGTGCCACCATGCCTAGCTAATGTTTTGTATTTTTAGTAGAGATGGGGTTTCACCATGTTGACCAGGATGGTCTCAATCTCTTGACCTCGCGATCCACCCGCCTCGGCCTCCCAAAGTGCTGGGATTACACGTCTAAGCCACCGCGCCCAGCCTATTGCCTAATGACTCTTTAAGCTACTACTGAGCTTCACAAATTCACGTCATCCCCAAAGAGAAACCCACCATTTTCACTGAGTCATTCAAAGCTTCCCACTGCTGGAATGGCATCGAGATCTGGCTCCTTCGCCAGTGGTCATAGTGGGCTCGACTCTCTTCATTGGTCAGAATCTCCTTTGCCTTCTGAAGTTTCTGAAAGGTCTCCACTGGAAAACAAATCAAGAAATGAGCACTTCTCTCCTGAAGAGGATATTTTAAACTCCAAAATCATTCCACTGATCTCACTAGAACCGTGATTCTGCCACTTAGTAGGGATGTGATCTTGGGCCAATTTACCTCGTTAAGCTTTTGTAAAGGGTATCATAGGGACAAGCAAGATCATGGATATAAAGTGCTTGGCACACAGTTTATCCACTCCCTTTATTGTGCCTCCCTCATGTGCCAGATGCTACTCCCAGTGCTGATGACAGATGTGAATAATAGACATTATTGGCAGGGGAGAGAGGCATTTGTAAAGACTGAAAACATACTATTCTATCTTCTAGGAAGAAAACTAACTTTTTTAGTGCTGGTTATGAGAGAGGGCAGTCATTAGGCAAGAGGGACAGTAAAACTGAAGACTATAAAGCAGGAATGAGCACGGTGATTTAGAGGAAGTAGAAATTGCCAGTGTAGCTGCAGGACACAAGGCTAGGGGAAGAATGATGAGGGATGGGACTATAGAGTAGAAAATAGCTCAATCAGGCCGGGCGCGGTGGCTCAAGCCTGTAATCCCAGCACTTTGGGAGGCCGAGGTGGGTGGATCACGAGGTCAAGAGATCGAGACCATCCTG